TGGAGAATGGGTTTTTAATGCGTGTATTGTTGAAAGAGACTCGTGGGGTGGTCCAAGCATCATGGTGTGGGGTGCAATCGATCTGAACCAGGGAGTTGGCCCCATGGTGTTCCAGAATCACGGTCCAGGATGAAGAAATGGCGTGACAGCTGCTCGTCATACTGACCGAGTCCTAAGACCACACGTTGTACCACATTTTGAACGTCGCAGAAATCACATCTTCCAGCACTCAGTCCAGATTTAAGTCCAATAGAACACCTTTGGGACGAGATTCAAAGAAGACAGAATGACCTTCAACCAAGTCCGACAACTCTGGCTGGACTCGATCAGACATTAAGCAGAGTATGGACCCAAGTGCCTATGGCCTTCAATAACCGGCTAATTAAATCCACGTACAGACCACGCAATGCCGTCATCGATGCCAATGGAGGCCAACACGATACTGACTTTGAGGTATCTTAGTGGTACCATTTTTTGGTGAATTTGTTTGTGTGAACTCTAAATGTGATTCCCGAACATGTGTTAACCATAATTGTCAACACAATCCTCTGTTTTGATTGTTCATTAGAGCAAATTAAAGCGTGTGGTTTAAGAAACCTCTGTCTTGTGCAGATCAGTATACTTATCGTACAAGCCCTACACCCGTATAATTATCCCCTGCAACACATTTTTCGGGGGGTATTAAAATGGACTCCATCCGTGCGTGCGTCCGTCCGTCAGTCTGTGCACATTTGTCTTTTCTGGAGCAGAACTCTAAAAGCGTTCACTATTTCTTCACCAAGTTGGCACATAGATAGATCTGGTGGTGTACTGGTGCCTTTTGGTAGTTTTGGAATTCTGAATAAAATATTTTTGGCATTTCCATGGCAACAAGTTCGACTTAGAATGAAATTAGTGGTAGTGCTCTTTTCCGGAGCAGAACTCTAAAACCGTTCACTATTTCTTTACCAAACTTGGCACATAGATTGGTCTGGTGGTGTACTGGTGCCTTTTGGTAGTTTTGGAATTCTGAATAAAATATTTTTGGCATTTCCATGGCAACAAGTTTGAGGTGAGGTGAGGTGAAATTGGATTTAACGTCGTGCTTGAGAATATTTCGCTCATATGACGACGTGCATGCGTGTGTGTGTGTATGTGCGGCTGCTTGTACTAGCCCAGACTTAAAGGTCACATAAACCCTAGGGGGTACAAATACATAAATCACTAACTGGCATCGTTATAAATGAAACCCCGTCATTAAAACTACTCATTTCGACCTTTAATTGACTTAAATCGACCTTTTTGACAACAGTGCACAATTCTCACCCGCGAACGAAATTTCAACCAATCAGAGCGGCGCGCCTCTGTGACGTCATATGAGGAATAGCTTTGAGGGCCGATGCAGAATTCATCTACATTTCAGGGGGTAAATTATCTTGTTTACAGGCTTGTATAAACCTGAAATCGTGACAATTGTTGTGGAAAATGAAAGCTATATGTTCTCACAATCTACTGTCATTTAATTTTGTCTCCTGCTTTGCCTAGTTTCGAGTTACAACTTGTTTTCATAGGCGATTCTGTGAAAATCGATTGGTGTCGTTAGGCCCTATTTGTATAATGACTGATCCAAATTGATCCCATTTCTGTGTTTTTTACCTCGATATTTAATCATGTCATGTAAAAAATCTGTTTGTATTTTCAAAACAGTGTCGGCCCATAAGTTTTCACATGCAATACAGCAATTAATACTCCCTTGTTGTAACTCGTCGTGTTAGGTGGTATAAACCTACACATGTTATTTGTCATCATTCACTTGATGGTCAGTTAATGAATTTATAACAGGTATAATTAGTGGTAACACACTTAGATTACCGACAAAGGTTCCCATTTGGCATTTCTTGTGTCTGGAGTAAATATTCAACATTATAAACATCGATCAAAGGATTAACCGATAACACGCTGATTGATTAATTACTTTTATCTTACACAGCGGAATTGTCAAAAGGTAGTGTTTATGTATGTAGATTTACTAATCTATACTGAATACACTCTGTCGTGTCGGCGTCTGCGTAAAAACAACGTCCTTCTTTCAAAGGATTAACCGGCAATACATTGATTGATTGCCCATTATTGGCTAACTAAATTACTGTTTTTAAAGACAGGCGGACATTATGCAATTACCGGTAGTTGCCAGGTGTGCTATCTTGGGTGACCAAAGAGACTATACACCAATACCTGAAAAGATTTATCACTCTTTCGTATATTAAACTGTTAAAAGACACATCATTTGGAACAGTTTTGTGGATATTGATGGATACATTCCTCGAACAAGGTAATGGCCTGATATTGTTCCTATAACTTTAATCTGTTTTAATTTTAATATTTGCATTTTGTTTTTATTCATTTGTCGTAGCATTCAACAGAATCATTGTTTTCGCCGTGAAGTGTAATGAGACAGACAACATGCACTAGGGTGTGTGTGCGAATTATGATTCACATTGGCAAACTATAAAATGTCTAGATATTACAGTTCTGTTATAAATTCACTATAAGCATCAGCAGATCGTCTGCTTTTTATTTAGTATCAAAATGCATACAAGTATGATAATAAACTAATTAGGATTATAAGACCAAATATAAAGACGCACATTGACTAGTATCTACATACTGGTGAGTGGACATTGGGAATGTAGCAAGAAATTTATCGCGCAGTATTGTGACTTCGACCCCCACCTCGCTTCCGTGGAAGAAATCGTTATGTTATAAGTTGTGTCATCCAAAATGCTCTTGGTTATGATTCCAATACATATTTAACTACGAGTAGAAAGTAGTCTTGATTTTCTAACTTGATGAAAACAAACTATAATCTCATTAATTCTAACAGATTGTTTTATTTTTAAAATGGTAGGCCTCTGTCGGGAACATCCGCCAGTCTGAGGATAAATGGTATTTAGGTTTGTTTTCACCGAGGTTCAAAATCAAAACTACTTTCTACTGGTAATAAAATATGTATTTTATTGATAACCAATAGGATTTTGCATGACATATAATATAACATAACAATTTCTCTCGTGGCAGCGAGGTGGGTGTCAATATAATACTACTTACAATATTATTGTTACTTCAACCACAACCTCACTTCCGAGGAAGAAATCGTTATGTTACAAGTTGTGTCATAGAAAATCTTTATGGTCATCAATCATATGCATATTTTACTACAACTAGTAAGTAGTTTTGATTCTTTAACTTCCGTGAAGCGATCTGAACACAAGTAAGATATCGTTTCAGGCTTCCACAACGCTCGCTTTGCACTCACAAACATAACCCATTTAGCACGAATTGCGGGGTCCTGTGGAAATCTGTGCATGGGGACACCATCGCCCGACCCTAGGAGCAATTGGCGACAAAGCAAACGATTCGGCATGTCGCCGTTGATGTCGAAAATCATCAAAATGATGAGCGTGCTACACATTTTCTATACAACTAACTGAAAATCGTTCCTCATATGACGTCACTGCAGTGCTCTGGCGACAGAGTTACGTAACCTGTCTGTGGTTTCGTTGGCGGTCGAGAGGGAAGCAGGCGACTTTTTGGCCACTTTTAATCGCTCGGTATTACTTAACCACAAGTTTTTAAAGACTAAATTTGGTGTTCCGCATAAGACTAACCACAAATCTTTCATATGTAATGGTTAAAAGAGTAACAAAAAACAAAGTTTAGTGGTTCTTTAAGCTGGTTTTATAGTGCTAGCCCACTGAGATACCATGCCACAGTGAAGCATGGATACCCCACTCAGACACATTATACTGACTCCGAGCCGACCAGTCCTTGTTGTACCCATTAATGCCAAGCGCCAGGCAGGGACCAACAAGTACCATATTTTAACGTCTTTTGGTATGACGCGGTCGGGGATCGAACCCTCAACCTTCCGCTCTCTGGGCGGACGCTCTAACCACTACACGATGGAGGCGGTCGCAACAAGTTTGATATAGACTGAAATTGGTGGTAGTGCTCCTTTCTGGAGCAGAACTTAAAAACCTTTAAATACTCTCCTTCCACTTTTCTATATACACACCTAAATATTTGACATAATCATAACTCGTAGACATAATCATGAAGAGTATTTTGCCATTGCGGGGGATATTGATGACTTTGTCTTCTTGTAGTCATTCACTTTATTGCACAATTACGGACTCTATTACAAGTATTAATTAGTGGTGGCAGCACTTGGATAACCTTGACTATGCAAAATAACTCAATGAAGTTCAGCTCTGCCTCTGAGGTTGTCAAGGATATATGACCAGTGGTTCATATTGGGCATTTAGCATATCTGGTGTCATTCAATCCAGATTGGTAAAAATCTTACATGTTATGGAATTGGCACATCACAGTGCAACATGAAAGGAATGACCTGTTGAGTTACAAAACAAAATCAAAAGATGAACTGATAATAAGTTACAATCTTGCACAGTGGACTTTCAGAATTGTTTATATAGGTTCACAATTGTAGATGGAATACACCTTTATCTCAGCACCTATGCAAAAACAACACACTTTATTCAAAGGATTAGCTGGTAATGTGTTGACTGAGTGCTCACGGTTGTCTAACTAAATTTTTTTTTTTTAAAGAACCATGGATATCATAAAAATAGATGTGGTGTGCTATCTTAGGTGATTGATGAGACATGACACTGATGTGTAACAGCTGTGACAAACTTACATGATCAGTTGAGAGATGAACATGCTTAGATATTTTTGAATGCAAAGACATGTGACATCAAACAAATTTCTTTGTACAGCCAGATATGTATGGGATATTACTCCTATTTGTGGTCAGAGACAGATATTTTCCCTTAACTCAGTAACTGCCTGATAATATTTTTGTTACTTTTTGGTCATAATTACAATGTTTGCATTTTGTCTTCATTCATTGACTGCACCTGGAATGTGAGAGACCTCAAAGGCTACTGATCAAACAGTTCCATTTTGAAAAATTATCACACTTATATTTTATATTTCAGGTGTGGAATGATTTGATCACACTGCAAGTCAACTCACCATCACTGTCTCATGAGTGGAACGCCACACTCCTTGATGCATTTGAAAAGGTGTTATCACAGGTGATTATGACAAAATTTGAACAAAATAAACTAGTTCACAATTCAGTTAATCATTTGCCAACTTTCAATCCAACAATGTATTCCAACAATCAATAATGCCAAGACTCTGAAACTAATGAATATTTTTGTACTACATAAGTACATGTGCATATGAAATAACCTCCTACAGAAATATTGCCTTTTCATATTTTCAGTTTTTATAGTGTTTTTTTTTAATTTCCTGTGTTTTGATGAAATCAGGATTCAGAATCTGTACTAGTATTTGTTACTAATATTGTTTTTACAACCTGTATACATGTTCATAGTAACATGTGTTTATATGAGTGAAAATGCTTTCTATTGGTAGTATGTGACTGACAGGTAAGCAGTAACATTAGAACTCTGATCCAGAGCGACTGGCCCCACGTCTGGTATCTCATGTAAGGACAGGAACTGCTACAAGGCAACCTGTTTTTTGGTGTGTTTTTTTTTTTCCAAAAGGCCTGTTGGAAGTAACTGGTGGTTACTAAGGAGATTTCTTTAATCCCCTGGATGCCAAGACTTTTATACCCCGCAACAAGTTTTGCTGGGGGTATTAAAATGGACTCCGTCCGTGCGTCTGTCCGTCCGTGCACATTTATCTTTTCTGGAGCATAACTCTAAAACCGTTCAATATTTCTTCACCAAACTTGGCACATAGATAGATCTGGTGGTGTACTGGTGGCTTTTGGTAGTTTTGGAATTCTTAATAAAACATTTTTGGCGTTTCCATGGCAACAAGTTCGACTTAGAATGAAATTAGTGGTAGTGCTCTTTTCCGGAGCAGAACTCTAAAACCGTTCACTATTTCTTTACCAAACTTGGCACATAGATTGGTCTGGTGGTGTACTGGTGCCTTTTGGTAGTTTTGGAATTCTGAATAAAATATTTTTGGCATTTCCATGGCAACAAGTTTGACTTAGCCTGAAATTGGTGGTAGTGCTCTTTTCCGGAGCAGAACTCTAAAAGCGTTCACTATTTCTTCACCAAACTTGGCACATACATAGATCTGGTGGTGTACTGGTGCTTTTTGGTAGTTTTTGATTTCTGAATAAAATATTTTTGGCATTTCCATGGCAACAAGTTTGACATAGACTGAAATTGGTGATAGTGCTCCTTTCTGGAGCAGAACTTTAAAAACCTTTCAATACTCTCCTTCCACTTTTCTATATACACACCTAAATATTTGACATAATCATAACTCGTAGACATAATCATGAAGAGTATTTTGCCATTTTGGGGGATATTGATAACTTTGTCTTCTTGTTTTATTTTTTTTTGCAGGCGCACATTTTCATAAGGTTTGAAAAATGAATGTTGTGTGAGAATTGCGCTCGCGTGGTCCTGGATCTGCGTACGGCTATGATATTACAAAGAAATGTAGAATATTACATTTCCTATCCATTGGTATAAAAAGAAGTGCAAATACCTCAATGGTTTTAGAAATAAACACTGCTAAATGGTGTACAAAATTTTGTTAAACGTAAAAAAAAGTAAATTTCCCCGCTTTTTATCGTGCACCGATAAAAGCACTGTGCTAGAATTTTTATCCCACTGGCATGTAATGCGGTGGGATATAGTCGATGCTCATCCGTCTGTCCGTCTGTCCGTAATCATTTTGTTTCCGGAGCATAACTGAAGAACCATTCAATATTTTTCAACAAGACTTGGTAGATATATCAGACAGAACGTTGAGTGGTGCCTTTTGCTATTTGCAGATTTGGGGAATTTTTATTTTTCCCGGTTTTCATGGAAACGATTCGGACTTAGTCCCAAAGGTGTGTGGGGGGGCTTCGTTTCTGAAGCATAACTCAAGGACCGTTCAATATTTTTCAACAAAACTTGGTAGATATATCAAACAGATCCTAAAGTGGTGCCTTTTGCTATTTGGCAGAATTTGGCATATTTATTTTTCCCGATTTTCATGGAAACGATTCAGACTTAATCCCAAAAGGCAGGGTGGGCTTCGTTTCCGGAGCACGACTCAAAAACCATATAATATTTTTCAACAAAACTTGGTAGATATATGAAACAGAACCTTAAGTGATGCCTTTTGCTATTTGCAGATTTTTCTCATTTTTATTTTTCTTGGTTTCCATGGAAACGATTCAGACTTAGTCTCAAAAGGGAGGGGTAGGTTTTGTTTCCGGAGCACAACTCAAAAACTTCTTAATATTTTTCAGCAAAACTTAGCAGATATGTGAGGCAGATCTTGAAGTGGTGCCTTTTGCTATTTGCAGATATTTGTCATTTATGTTTTCCATGATTTCCATGGAACGATTTGCACTTAGTATAAAATCAAGGTGGACTTTAAGTAACTGTCAGATGATTTGTTCTTTCAAAGATGTGGGGGCCGGGGGGATATGTCATCTTCTGATGACTCTTGATTTAATTTGGCATCTTCACGGACAGGGTGAGCGAAGAAAATACGGCCAGATATCGGAATGACATAAGTAAATATGAAATGGGTTTGTGTGCTTATGCATAACATTATACGCTCAATCTTTAAAATGACTCACAATAAATGTTGAAAATGGATTTTCTTCTGTGACATCAAATGACGACAGAGAGGTCAGACATGTATAAAGATAAGGGGGCATAACTCTGCTATGCTTAACACTAGGTCAATGTAACTCAGATCACTTGGAGAGAATTTGTTGTTGATACAGTCACTATATTCTCATAAAGCCACGGGGCCTGATGGCATTGGAAACATCATACTGAAACTAACTTCAACCTCTCTAACCCCGTTGTTAGCTAAGCTGTTCAACATCCCCCCTCGTAATAAAACGTATCCTACTTCTTGGAAACTAGCTTCGGTGATTCCACTTCATAAGAAAGGTGATGAACATGATTGCTCAAACTATAGACCTGTAGCGTTAACAAGCTAAGCTGTGTTGCTAAAGTTCTTGAAAAATGCGTTTTTAAATACGTCTTCAACTTCCTCAGGGATAACAATATTTTATCAAACTTACAATCTGGATTTATGCCTGGTGATTCTACAGTAAATCAACTAACTTATCTTTATAATTTTATCGCAAGTGCCGTAGACCAAGGAAAGGAAATCAGAGCGGTATTCTGTGATGTAAGTAAAGCCTTTGACAAAGTTTGGCACAAAGGTATTATTCATAGACTTTATGCTTATGGTATATGGGGAGAACTTTTGGAGTGGTTTGAAAGTTATTTAGATAGTAGAATGCAGAAAGTGGTAATAAATGGATATTGTTGAGGTATCAAATCTGTGGAAGCTGGTGTACCCCAGGGTTCCGTTTTAGGACCACTTCTGTTCATCATTTATATTAATGACATTGTAGATGGTATAGACAGTAACATTCGCCTTTTTGCTGATGATACATCAATATATGCTATAATAGATGATCATATTACAGCAGCTGCAATTATAAACAATGATTTGGCAAAAATTTCAGACTGGGCCAGAAAGTGGCAGGTAAGTTTTAATCCTAGTAAGACTGAAAGTATAACATTCATTCGTAAAACGAAAAATTATGCCAGTCCGAACTTACTAATGAATGGCGAAACTATTAAAGAAGTTGATAACCATAAACACTTAGGTATAACACTTCAAAGCGATTGTTCTTGGAAAGTTAAATACTCCTTTTTCTTACCACTTTTTGATTACTGCAGTCATATATGGGATAATTGTACAATTGAACAGGCGATTTTACTGGAAAATTTACACTTAGATGCATTAAGAACTATATGCGGTGCGGTTCGTGGCCCCAGTCATGATAAAATATACAAGGAAACCAATTATAGCACACTGAAACAAAGACAATATCGCTCTAAACTTATAACTTTCTATAAAATGCATTATCGTCTGACTCCTGGTTATCTGAATGATCTTGTACCAGGTAGAGTATTTCAACAAAGCAACTATAATCTTAGAGATAGTACTTCTATTCAAACTACTAACTGTAGAGCACAAAGATATTCTCAATCATTTTTACCGAGCGCAATTATGTCGTGGAATTCATTGCCCGATGGAGCTGTTAACACTATTTCCGTGAGAAAGTTTAAAACCATGATAAATTCAAAAGAAACCCACAACTACTTTGATTTAAATTTTGGGACTAGATTTTGTCAAATTATCCATTGTCGCCTCAAGCTCGGCTGTAGTGATCTGAACGCAGACAGATATAATCGACATATATCAGAAACAGCTAAGTGTTCATGTGGTCATTATAACGAAGACGTCATTCACTACCTTTTTACATGTCGGGAACTATCAAAATTTAAGAACAGCTGGGTATTTTTATATTCAAGGATACGATGTGAAAACTACCTTATACGGTAACGGTGCATTGGATAACTCAACAAATTGTGACATTCTCAACTCATTACACCAGTTCATTTCTAAAATTAAGCGCTTCCAGTGATTATCACCTCTACATATACATGTATATTCAATGCAAGACAAAATTTATATAACTTGCTTTTCTGCGGCAGCTCATTTCGTTGCTAGGCACAACCAACACCATAACCAAATATTTATTATTCAATCATTTTTCTGAGTGTAATTTTGTCTCAGTATTATTCTTTTCTTGTCGGACTATTTCAATTATGTATCCAGCTATATTGGAACCGTGTACTGGAGCGGCGTTTATATAAGCCACTAGGCTTGTTCGCCTATCCAGGTTTCTGCATTGACGGAATACAAATATGTTTAAACCATATTCTCATTATGTTTTCTTCACCGTGAACCAAACTATTCCAATACAAAGTTACCCAATGTGAGCGGACACGTTTTGGTAGTTTCACAATTTATAAGAAAAGATGACAATGTACTACAGTCTGTTTGATTAGAAAGTGCCCCAATGCATTGCTAAATGTATCAGATTAGAAAGGTAGTTAAGAAATATTACAAGGCAAGATATTCATGAATAACCTTTACCCAAACACCTTTTCAGATATTAGAAATTGTTATGCATCACAGAAAAAGTTGTCTCACAAAACTGTCATCA